TGTAGACAAAACAAAATTTTCTTTAGTAGTTTTCCTGACAGTAAATGAACATTCCCATTCCATAGAGTGAAGCAGTGATCAAATGTAAACAGTGTGGGAGAAAAAAAAAATGCATTCATGTAGAAATATTAATATATATGGTGCAAATATGGTTTGGTGTTTTCAGTGTGATTCAGTCTGTGACATGATTTAGAGTTTTTTTCAACAGTTTAGGAGCTCTCATCCTCCACAGGAAGTACATGTGCTTCTGTGCCCTTTTGACCAATAAGGTGGTGTTTACAGTCCAGGTGAGGGTGTCTGTGATGTGCACCCCCAGGAAGTTGGTGCTGCTGACCACCTCTACAGCTGAGCTGTTGATGACCAGTGGAGCGTGGTTAGGACGGTTCTTCTTGAAGTTAAGAGTATCATGGATGAAACAACTGATGATGGTTTTGTTTTTAATTATCAACCGGCCATAACGAAAATGGGCTTCAATTTAAAAAACAAAACAACTAATGAGCCTATTTTTAAGCAGTAGAAAGTAGAGAGTTCTAAGGTAAGGTAACAAAGTAGTAGTACTTTGTTACTTGACAAATCTGTAACTGGGGACAGACACCTCTATAGTCACTGATTTACATAATAAAAAAGGTGAAATTTTTAGTTATGAAGAATTTCTTAAATCCAAAATCTTTCCTTTTACCTATAAGGAATTTCAAATGGTGAGAAATGCTGGTGGTATTCTCCAATTACTTAAAGGCCATTTTGAAAGGCAAGAGGCAGAGAAAGTGGACCTCACCCTCTTTATTAATGGTGTAAACTTTATAAATCATCAATGTAATAAGAAACATATAAGGAACTTTTTTTTTTTTAGGAAAAGGGAAATTACTCTGAGAGGGAAATTTGTATGGTCCTCCTCTTTCTCTGATATTAACTGGAAAATAAAATGGCTCCTTCCACACAAATTTGCTATTTCTAAAAAAAATAAAAGAAATCCACTATAAAGTTATACATAACATTTACCCTACTAACGCTTTTTTTTTTTTTTTTAGCAAAATTTGTCAATATTGATGTCAACTGTGTATTCTGTTATACTGAGGAGGAAACAATTAAGCACCTATTTTTTTATGTAAATTTTCACAGATATTCTGAAAAGAAGTTGAGGTTTACATCATATCACACTCCAACACACCAATTAAATTACAAGCCAAAGATATCATCTTACACTATACTAATAATGATGCAATTCTTGGTTAACTTGATTATTCTAATTGCAAAATTCCACATACACAAAACCAAATTTTCCAGAGGTCGACCTTTCTTCCCTTTGTTTGAAAATGATTTAAAAAACTTACTTCAATTGTATCCAAAGAATCCACAATAAAAAATGTATACACACTGTTAACGTTATTAAGGAATATTTGGAGAAATGTAATATATCTTCCCTTTTTTTGTGTGTGTGTTTAAATCTGTTCCGTTATTTATTTAAGTTAAAGTTTGTTATATCTTAATTCTAATTGTACTCAATCATTGAACATTTATTTTGGAGATACTCTTCTATATCTTTTTGCTTTTTTTGTCAATGTTTTGTAATTTGCAACTTCTTCTCAAGGCGTCATGAGGCGTTTCAGGCCATTTGCAAACTATTGATACAGTCACTGAATGCTGCCACCTGCTGGACATTTAAAATCACTACAGGCAGCCTCTTTGACAGAATAAACCACTGATCTCTATTTATTCACTGGATTGCTGATTGCAAAAAGGTGAAGCCACCATCCGCCATGCTGGTACTCACTCTCACAGAGACGTGCAGTCAAAATTCTTACATGTGAAGCATTTGGCTGCAGAAACAAGCAGTTTACCAGCTGTGGGAAGATGTTCCACATGTAGTTTCACAGGTAGTGGATGTACTAACCAAGAAAACCCATATATATATGCCAATGTATCCTATAGTATAGTATGTAGCGTAACATCAGTCTGGCTATTTCAGACACTGACTGAGTTAGCAAATTGACATTGTGTCTAAAGTTAGAAAATAGAAACTAGAGTAAATAGAAAGTAAATCACTCTGAAATATCAATGTAGTAATTCTTTAAGTGGATGGCGCAGTTCCTGTAGTGTTTGTATTTCTCATTTGAAAAATGTATGTGCTGAAATATATTGAATGTCATATTGGTGAAAAAAAACAACTCAAACAATTGACCATATATATATTTATAAATGTGTCATGTGTAATTAATACATGTATATTACATGTACATCATCAATTTAGCAATTTTGGCACATCTGTATTATTATGCTCCATTAACACATTTGTTTTATTGTCGTGGATTTGTATAATATGTCATATTACATGACTTCATTGCCTTCATAATGACTATGTAATGTGATGAGCCTATTTTTTTTTTAATAAGTAGTAATCTACTTATGCAATGAAACAGCAAGTCTGTCAAAAATGAGGAATTTATCGTTGTTTGATATTGTAGCGCACATATTGTTTACATCATCACCGGTACCCTGGGAGTGCCAAAATGACAGCCGGTGGCTTCACTTCAACCCCGTACTACCAGCGGGCGATGAGATGCTTTCTTAAAGATTTTGGTTTAAGGGATGAACCAGATTTAAAACCAGTTTGATCAAATACCGGATTTTATTAGTTGGTAAACCCCCATGAAGCCAATTAGGAAGTTTCTTTAATTGGGTCCACTTCAAAAATCAAAGACAAAAACTAAATCTGTTAAAGCCAAAACCGGAAAGGAGTGCTCTGATTGGCTTGAGGAACTTTTGGACCCCCTCTGATTCTCCTGCCTCTTTATTCTTAGGTCCAGGCAGTTTGTGGCCATAAAAACTGCTCATCGATGTAAAAAAGGAAAGCAGACAAAGCAATTCTCCAACTAACTGCTTTTATTATCAGCATGTAAGTAAAAAACTTCATTTAACATTTCAAAGATTTACAGCCATTTGAAAGCAGGAAGTTGGCGTGCTAATGATGCTATGCTAGCCTCAAGAGGAAGCTATAAAAGGAAGGGAAAATCTTGACATTTTCTTTTTTCACATAACTTTGTGTTAATAAAAGCTTTACATATCATAAGCCTGAACTTAGAACTGCAAGTTTAAAATCTCTGTTGATTTGAATCCTTTGTAAAATGTCCTGAGCTACGGCTGGGGTGCGTTTCCCCTGCAGCTGTGAGCACTGCTCTGGTTGTGAGGTTTCATCGAAGCTGAAGGAGGTCTGAGAGGTTTGGTCAGAGGTATCTTCCCGAATACAACTGAAAAATAACAAAAGTTTGTGCTTTGATCCGAAATGCTTTATTATCCTGTAAAAAGGTCCCATCATTTCATTTGAGCAGTAATCAGGGTCGCGTTCCACCTGCTCTTAGTGAAACTCAGCAGCACAGAAAGAGGTCGGCAGTAGAAAATTAAGGCTCCTATGGCTGAACAGATTATTCCTCCTATCAGTCAGCAGTTAGATGAGAAAAAAGGGCAAACGCTGCTGGAACTGAACCAGCAACCTTCCTGTCCATTAAGCAAAGGGTTATTTGGATTTACCTGGAAGTCCAGAAACTGAGCCGAGGGTTTGTTAGTAAACATGATAAACCCCTCAGAACCATTTTATTTCACAGATGTTGTTTTATAGACCTAGATGAGCAACAGTTCAGATGCTAAAGCTCTCCTATCAGATCATCCATCGGATCAACAGTCAGTGGTTCAGGTTCCACAGCCACAGAAATCATCCTCATGTGAGAATCATCAGTCACTTCAGTCTAGATGATCCCTCAACTGGAACAAACCAACGCCACTGTGTGGGGTCCCCTCA